CTATAAAAGTACGCAGAGATGAAGAATAATAAATTTCCTATTTGATGGTGTAAATTTAACTGTAAATATCAAACCGGTTTACAAAAAAAGACACTCCTAAGTGTTGTCCGAGAATATATTCTGCGTTGAAAAACAGTAAATTTCTCCGCTTTTTATCGTACACCGATAAAAGTACTGTGCGACAATTTTTTTAATTAAGAAGCTTTACGGAAACTGTGAGCGAACAAAATACTGCCTAATATCTGAAGGACATAACTACATATCAAATGGAGTTATATGCGTTTGTATAACGACATACATTCAATTCCAAAAATAGCATGCCGTAAATGACGAAAACTGCTTTTTCTCTATGACGTCAAAAGGTGACAGAGAGATTTCACACGTACAAAGAAAAGGGGACATAACTCCGCTATGCTTAGCTCTAGTTTGTTGTAACTCAGGTCACTTGGTGAGAATTAGCTGTGGGTAAGGACAATGTATTTTCGTGGTGTTTTGTTCAGGAGGAACCAAACTATTCCAACACAAATATCGATATTGAAACTGTACACGTTTAGTTATAAAATATACCCATAAGAAATTATGAAATCGTACTTCATTAAAAAGGAGTTAATAGAGAAATGGATGGCCTTATCTAACCTATAACTTAGTCCTTAGATTCCAACATTCTCCTGATTGTGTAAGTGTAATTTGACTAATGTTGCATCATTATTAATGGAGCACAAGCCTTTTCATCAAATGTAATGAAATACTCTAAAAATAAAACCATTCCTTTTGACGTCATGGCTGGTTGTATGTCTTTGATAACGTCGGAAAAAGACGACACTGGTATTTTGATCAATATATATCTCCCCTAATTTTCTTTCATGGTATGGAAAATCTCGATGTGTGGAACGGAATTTGACGCTTTTTCGACACAACATAAAATTACTGCTCTCACCAAGCTAATAATGTCTTGAATATGTAAACAATTAGATAGTTTATCGTGTATCTTAATTGGACAAGACACGCACCTGTTTAGCATAAATTTACGTAATAAAATTCCCAAAAGAATATTTCAAAACAACCAAACATATATTCAATATTGGACATATATTTGTTCATTATTATGTTATTATTTCTTACACAATAAAAGATGCAAAGAAAGCACTATTGGTATAGAATTATCAGGATAATCGTATACGGTTGAACCAACGGGGTACCTGGCATGGGTTTTATTTTTATACATTTTACAATTCCTGGAGAAATAAAATAAACTGTTTACTATCCTGTGATCACAATATTGACAAAAGAATGAAACCATTGATTATATAATGCAAAACGAGAGGAATAATTCGTAAATTGTTTGTGACTAACGCGCACCTGGCGAATCGTTAGATATCACTTTTCTCTGTATCTAACGACATAAAAGACAATTCCAAGACCAAGACATTATAGAAATGTGTGCATATATTTTACCGAAATATATTATCCATTTTGTTAAAGTAATATAATCAGTTTTAGTTATAAAATAAAATGAAACGGCTATTCATGGACATTGGTTATATGATCTTATAATATTGACTTATTACACATCCAAAGAAATACGTACATGCTGCAGTTACATTTACACTTCATCTTGTAACACTTGTCCAAAGGAAATAAGAAATATCGTAGTCGACACTATAAACCTTTCACATTCTTATGTAAACAATGTTCAAACAAACAGGAGATTATCAAAGGTTCGTTCATACATGTTGTGGCCTACATGTACGTATGATTTCATTTTGAACATTGACAAATATCCAAAGTGAAATTAATTGTGTGAAAAAATGTATAAAAGACATGCAAAATATACACCATAACTGAAACTGTAAACAGCATGATACAATGATCGTGTGCACTCTCATTCAAGGACCTTCACCTCAATGAAATTACCAAATGTGTACAACAATGTTGACGTATGACATCACTACCTGTGACCCACTTTTACAAAATGGCGTGTACACTGTCAACAGTACGCGGGATTGTACCAGGGGACTTTCGTTGATTCAGGGATCGTATAAACATAAATGTGACATGTAAGTAATCAGAAACATTCTGACAATCTATGTACTGTTGTTTGTTGTCATAATTTTCATTGAAACAAACGGAAATAGTCAGAAATTCCGATAAATACCGTTGTCGTTGTGCGTGATTTTGCGTCAGTCATGGCGTCAACCAGAACGGTAACTTTGACAACTTCTGTTGAAAATATCAAATCATTGCAATGTATCTATTTGAAATTCGCGAATTCTTCCTACGATTCTCTTCCCATGCATATTCTGAAAATGTTGAGCCTATATCTTGAACGAATAGACGAATGGATAGCTCAAAATAGGAGAAAATTCTACACTGTGTAAAATCTGAATTTTGCTTTGTTTACATTTCAAACAAGTGCAGATTTTCGAGGACAGCATTCGTTTTCACACCTAACATATTTTGCTTGATTTCATCCAGCCACTTTGTATTGGTGACAGAGACCATTGGTCATTTGATCCTAAAATGTATGAGGAATTCAAGGATGTGTGTATGGCAGCTAAGTTTGACATATACGCGATGTTACAGGCGCCTCATAACCGGTGTACCTGAAACGTGATTTTGTAAACACTAGCCAATATGGCGGAAAGTTCACTTCGGCGTTCGTGTTTGCGTATTTTCCAAAACATTCGAAACGATTCTCGGATTATGGGAGACGTTTTGGAATGATCATTGGTGTTTTCATAAAAGACAGATACCCGTGATCATTAATATGCTATTTTTGAAATTCATTTCTCCGAGTAGATATCCTAAATATAGATTTCAAAACATGTTGTAAATAACGCCGTGAGCGGTGATTTAGTAATGTGTAAAAAATGGCGACATTTACAATGTACCTAATTTTCAGAGGTCATTTTCAGTACTTTTGCTTGGCCTAAAATGCCAGTGGATGATATCACAGAACAGGAAATGTCCCACCTTATTCAAAATTGTGAAGTGTATTTGTGTTGGTGATGTATTTTGAATTTTATTCGACTTCAAAGTGAGGGTTGTAGAGGAAGGACATATATGTCCCTCTGGCATCCAGGGGGTTAACGCCGCAGTCAGCAATATTCCAGCTATATGACGGCGGTCTGTAAATAGACTAGTCTGGACCAGACAATCCAATGATTGACATCATGAGCATCGATCCACGCAATTGGGATCGATGACATGCATCAACCAAGTCAGCGAGCCTGACCACCCGATCCCGTTAGTTGCCTTTTACGACAAGCATAGTCGCCTTTTACGGCAAGCATGGGTTGCTGAAGACCTATTCTACCCCGGATCTTCACGGGTCTGTTCTTCATGTAAATGAAATACGAAGCGCTGTCACTATGGTAAACTCCGACGTTCATACAGTTTGTCCCTCACTCTATGAGGATTTATGCTCCAATGAACTCCCACAAGTGAAAGTTAATTCTTAAATCCCAGCACTAACTTTATCATTATGTTCAACATTCCTTAACCAAAAAGCAGAAGGGCAAAAATCACGTTGAAACAAACATGATTTTATCAATTTAACAATTCTAATAATCAAGTCGGTTTTAATTAAATAATCACTCACCAGCTTGTTAATTGAATTTCACAGGTTCAGTTGTTAATATACGTCTCGTCTGCTTCTATTGATGGAGTCTGGAATAACGCGCTTCAAAATCTCGTGCAACGGAAGTGGGTCCTGATTGGTTTAACTCCTAACCAGGATATCACGTGACAATGCTGACGAACACCTGCGTGAAATGTACAAGTTCTCAAAACCGATTTGACATGATATTGTGTAAACAGTCTACAACGTCATAGCCAATTTCAAAGACAGACTACGCTCGAAGGCCTTGCGCTTGGTGCGATTATTTACATCGTGATAATTGAAATATATGACTGACTGCGGCGTATAACAACACTCCTCCACACTCAAGCTAACTAACTCACACTGCTAGTAATATAATAACCACGAACAAACAGCGACGCTGCTTTGGCATTTGAAACACATGCAATACAGATCTCTGTGCAAGTTGTTTCTGTTCTTAATTAAAGATGCTAAATAGATATTTTAGATACGTTATGGTTAATATCACTGATCCCATTATCGGGACTGATTGAAACTGTATATTTACCATGCAACTCAACTTATCCTGGCTTACCAGTAGTCGATTGGGTCCAAATTTTTTTTGATCGACTTTCTAAAACTGCCCTATTGCATGTGCACAATAAAAAACTTACTACATCAACGTTCTCCTGTCCATTCTTGGTATTGTGAGACTTAATATGCAACTGTGTAGGAATGACTATAGTCATTGTTTGTATACATGAAACATTAATTTTTAAAAACACAACTAGGTACAGGTTATGGTTATTTGTTGTTTTACGCCGCACTCAGCAATATTCCAGCTATATGACGGCGGTCTGTAAATAATCGAGTCTGGACCAGACAATCCAGTGATTGATATCATGAGCATCGATCCACGCAATTGGGATACGATGACATGCATCAACCACGTCAGCGAGCCTGACCACCCGATCCCGTTAGTCACCTCTTTCGAAAAAGCATAGTCGCCTTTTACGGCAAGTATGGGTTGCTGAAGACCTATTCTACTCCGGAATCTTCACGGGTCTGGGTGGGGGACACCAGAAATGGGCTTCACACATTGTACCCATGTCGGGAATCGATCCTGGGTTTTCGGCGTGACCAGCGGACGCTTTAACCACTAGGCTACCCGACCGCCCCTCACCCTAGAGAAAACACCGCTGTCATGGTGACCAAACGTAGCATTCCTTTAATGAAAGCGAGAAAACCCTTTCCGTCATGAAGAAAAGCAGAGTCCATTGTATGATTCCGACTATATCCTGAGCATGTGCTTATGAATCAACCATGAATCACGGTCCATGAATCACTATCTAATATTGGGTAGAAATCCCCAGTGTATATAAATAGAAGGGGAAATCCGTATTCATCTTTAAAAATATAACTGCACAGCGCCACCTGCGTTATAATATGTTCGTATACCCTGGACTTACATTACTGATGATCAGTGATTAACTCCGATAATGGCATGACCAAGAAGGGCTGGTGAGTTCGTTGCTTTAGATTCCAAGAGATAAGGAGGACACCGTATAAATTTAAGGCAATGTGTGGGTGTTTATCAATATATATTTATATTACGTAATTTATTCTTAGTCTACTGTTTCCCAACACACGTATGTTGCCGAGGTGTTACCTAGCCTGTCCATATACCAATGTAATCGATCTCACACGATAATCACTTGGTTATTGTTTTCTTATGTTTGGAGAGAAGTGTCTCGTCATCTGAGGGAGCTGTGCCGATCAGCGGCGCAGCTAAAAGGATAATCCCCGAGATTAAACTGAAACGACAAACACAATGACATGTCCCGTGTTCACTGCATGACTCTTATCAATTATGGGAAACTAATATGAGACTTGATATACAAACATGAAGGACGCCAGATAGTATATTTTTTTAAAGATACCAGGATTTTTGACGATACTTAGTACGATTGATGCGTTCGTGTGAAAATCACAAGTGCACACCATGGTCGCGACCTATATTCAGGGTAAACCGAATGTAAGAATGATTTTATTGGTCAAGTCGACCAGCTGATCGCATCCGGGTTAATTCATCCTGCGCATATTTCATTTCTCTGTCACTCTCGCGTGTCGTATTGTCGTTTTATCATTTAAACTCATTTAATTCAGAAGACATGAATGAAGTTAAAGTTAATTAAATTACAATAAAATAATCCATGTCATTAAGATAGGGCAGTCCTAAAGCCTGCTCTGATTGTTTGTTTGTTTGTTTGTTTGTTTGTTGTTTAACGCCGTACTCAGCAATATTCCAGCTATATGACGGCGGTCTGTAAATAATCGAGTCTGGATCAGACAATCCAGTGATTGACATCATGAGCATCGATCCACGATCTATTGGGATCGATGACCCGCATCAACCAAGTCAGCGAGCCTGACCACCCGATCCCGTAAGTCGCCTCTTACGACAAGCATAGTCGCCTTGTATGGCAAGCATGGGTTGCTGAAGACCTACTCTACCCCGGATCTTCACGGGTCCTGCTCTGATTGAGGTCGGCGTTAGGAGTGCTTCAGCCAGAACGTTATCACATGCCACACATGAAATATAAATTCTAAACTTTTCTGTTAAGTTGTTCCCATTTTACCACAAATTCTTCTCATTTTTCTTTCTTTCGGCAATATACACCTAACCTAAAGGATACCACTTGCTTTATTAACATATAAATTACTTGACATGGTAATTATAATTGTGGTTTGATTGGAGAAAAAATGTCCCTGTAAATGCTGGAAAAAAGTATGCTTCAGACTGTTAAAAACATTGCCTGCCACAAAAAATACATTGTGTTTTACAAAAATAAGTTGTAAAAAATATCATAGTCCTAATTTTAAAAGAGAAATATCTGTTTTCGCAGCTAGTCTCCACGTATATCCCACCCTCTCAAATGAAAATAAATATTTAATTCCTTACAAATGTATATTTTGCTGCTAATCCTCTTCAAGTTACAGACATAATATCAATTTAAATATCCAATGTTTGAACTAACCGTTACAGAGTGAATACAAAGTACTAAGGTATGCCTACTTATATTAAATTACTGCTTTTGAAATAACATAACAGCAGGTAGCTGCACAATACTAGTGATATGTGTTTCAGTCACTCGTAAGTATCAGATTATATATACATTGTTTAACTTGTGACATATTCTGAAAGGTAATAATTATAATAAAGTATATAACCTATAGTCTACAGCATGGAACTAACTATATAGGTAACAGTTTTATTCACGTGGTAAACACGGTTAAGAACAGTATATCACTTTATATTCACAGCGAAAATGGACACAGGTGACAATAGTGATATTGAGGTTGACGCGCGTTTGGAAACTTCTTCACCTGATGGACAGGCAGAGACTAAACACTATGATGTGGCCTTACTGTTTGCCGAAACAGATAAACACCGTGCCTTGGAAATACTGGATGAAATGGAACAACTAACTTTAGTAAACGAAGAGAAACCAAAGGTTTGTTTGTACACTGACCTACCTGGTACATCATCACACATTGATGGAGGTAAAAACTTAACAAAAGTAGCCACTCTGATAATTGTGTTGGCAACTGAGAATCTTCAGGATGCTGAGGTGGCAAGGTTAATCAAGGATGAGGCGATTGGCAATACTAGACTGGCAAGAAAGTGTCACCCCGGGCTCAAATTCTGTGTCAGACCTCTCTATTTAGAAAGAGCGAGAAAGGACCACCCACCTAGTGGCCTCTCCACCATCACGCCTGTGGAATGGTACGACAAAGATTCGAAATTCTTTCAGCGAAACATCAGAATGTTACTGGAATACCACATTCCATATAGAAAACAGCGAGAGCGAGAATACAGACGTCAAAGACGTAATGTTGGTAACAGTTCTACGCAGTCCCAAGATGTTCCTGACGTTGCCAACATTGCTGTATCGGTTCAACCAGCCCATCAGCAAAGCCAGGAGAGCGACCTTCCATCCGAACGTTCACATTTGGACAGTAACGCAGCAGTAAGACTGTCATCTTTAAGTCACCACGCTGCTGAAAATCTTGGCGTCTACGATAATTACAATGGTGCCAGCGCTCATTCAAGTCAACAAAATGAAGCCATGGCAACACCAAATGAATGTTTTACTGATCAACAAATAAACAATAATGATCACGTGGGTCTGCAAAGCTTAGACACCATTGATTTAAACAACTGTAACAACACGAATGGGCCTTCGGTCCAGTCTAGAAGTACCAATGAATCTTCAGGTTTTGCAGCCAGTGGGAAATCGACCAGTGAAGGGAACAATAATCAGTCACCTGACTCTGCCATGGCCAAACGTAAGGACACTGCCAACAATTACATGAACCCAAGCGTCGGTACTCATCCTCCTGGCGTAGGTGAAAGTTACGTTTCACAAGATGGAGTTTCTAAAAATATCGATAATTCCCCGAATATGAATACTCCTGAAAACAGATTTACGGAGGAAGAAAGAAATCTTCCACTTCAAACTTCAGGGCTTAGAGAGGAACAGGGGCCAGGTACACGAAATACACTTCTAAGTTCAGGGAGCGAGACAGACGACGGCTCGATTGTGGAATCCGATTTGATGCGGGATAATCTGATAACAGATACCTCCTTCGCTTCAGTGCCGAACAGAGATTCGCAAAACACTACAGATCAGATTTACACCCGTGACTCTTCCTCCGATTCTGAACCTACCGACAAAAATGTCCCTCCAAATTACGGTGGAAAAGGCACAGAGTCTACTCAGACCACGGAGTCATTGTTGGCTGGGGCGAATGGAAAACATATGACGGCTGATCCGTTGAACGCTCACGTTCAAAACAAAGAAGGCGCTACATCCTTGGTGCAGAGAATTGAGCACGGGACAATGACAGAGCAGGTACTAACACATAGAGGACAGGCTCACACACGTACAGCGAGATGTGCGGCCCCAAATGACCCCAAGTTTGTTGATGGTGAGAAAGGTACTTTTATAGCATTATTATGTTCAGATTAAAATTAGAAAATGCAGCAAAGAGGGTTTGGGTGATCCTGGCACAGTCAGGATGGTAAGGCTGAGATACGAGAGCTGGCTGAAAAGTTCTAAGCCTAACTGTGAAAGACCCGTACCAAGTCGATGGTCTTCATTTATTTCTCCACATAGTCCCCTTCCAGGTTTACACACTTTTGCCAGCGATGCTGCAAGGCCCGGATGCCGGTCAAGAAGAAATTTTCTTCAGCCACCCTAAAAAAGTCATTCACAGCGGAAATGACGTCATCATTACAAGGAAAATGGCGACCGGCTAGTTCCTTTTCCATTTTGGGAAACAGGTGGAAGTCTGACGGGGCCAAATCGGGTAAATTAGGGGGGTGATCAATGAGTTGGAAGCCACAGTCATGGATCGCTGACATGGCAACCACCGATTTGTGAACAGGAGCATTGTCTTGGTGGAACAGGCCTCCTTTAGTGAGCATTCCCCGTCGCTTAGCTTTGATAGCTTCACGCAACTGTCTCAGTGGGTCAGCATAATATCTTCCATTGATAGTCTGGACTTTTTCAAGATAGTCAATCAGCAGAATACCCTTGGAATCCCAAAAGACTGAAGCCATCACCTTTCCAGCAGAAGGAACCGACTTGGCTTTTTTTTTTTTGGGGGGGGGGGTTGCTAGTGATTCCGGATGCTTCCATAGTTTAGACTGAATTTTGGTTTCTGGTTGAAAGTGATGAATCCAGGTCTCATTCATGGTTACAAATCGGGCCAAAAAAATCATCGTTATCTGCTTCAAAACGGCATAAATTGTCACGGGACGTCAGGAATCTGACACGTTTATGATCCGCTGTCAAGAGCTTTGGCACCCATCTTGCAGAAACTTTTGTCATTCCCAACTCGTTTGTGATAATGTGCTCAACCCGCTCATGAGAGATGCCAACAACACTGGCAATATGTCGAGTGGTCAATGGTCGATCAGCCATCACCATGTCATGCACCCGGGTAATGTTTTCCGGAATGGTTGCTGTTGAAGGCCTTCCTGGACGCGGGTCATCGTCAAGGCTCTCTCTGCCACGCTTGAATTCCGCAGCCCACTTCTTTACAGTGGAAGGGGCATCATCCCCTAAAGGTGTGTTTGAGTTAGCCCTTTCAGTTGCAGGTACTTGATGACTGCCCTATAGCCAGTTTTGTCCATTTCTAGTGATTTGAATGGGTAGGTTCACAAGATGGTCTGGTACAAAGACAATAATAACACTACAGTTGCACTACAGTTGCAGTTCATTAAATGATTATACTTGTTGGTGGCAAAAGTTTGTTTCAATCCGATTTAATTGACTTACACCACATTCTGTTTCAGAGCCTTATGGGGTTGTGGAGCCAAGAGTCGTTCATTACCATACTCACTATCATAGTGAAGTTCATGATTCTTCTCAAGGTGGGCTACCACAGCAGAGGCGTCCAGGTTTGCTACTTTTCCAACAGCCAGTATGCGTCACGTGTAAAAGTCTTTTATTCTACATTTATGTTTACGGGTTCCGGGTTCGAATCGGCCCCTGACAACCCATGCTAGTCGTAAGAGGAGACTAAATGGATCGAGTGGTCAGGCTCGGTGTCCTCGGCGTTGATCGCTGCTCACAATATCGGCCACTCAATTATTTACAGGCTGACACCACTTAACTGGAATAGTGCTGTGTGGCGTTAAAAAACAAACAAAACTCAATGTGTGATCAAGTTGACCAGTTTAACAATCTGCTTGTCGTAAGAGGCGACTAACGGGATCGGATGGTCAGGCTCGCTGACTCGGTTGATGCATATCATCGTATCCCAATTGTGTGGATCGATGCTCATGATATTAATCACTGGATTGTCTGGTCCAGACTCGATTATTTACAGACCGCTGTCATATATCCTGAATAGTGCCGAGTGCGGCGTTAAACAACAAATAAACAAACAAATAAAGAAATAAAAAGTATTGCACGTTTGATGATGCAGGTGCACAAGGAAATCTAAACTGGCGAACTGAGGCTCCTATTACTGTTATTGGATGCAGTAATGTACAGATAGGTGCCAATCAGAGGATAACAGGGTAGGTGACAAACCAAATACAATGCATTTCTCTAAAATCTAATTCACGCAAACTTATCAAGTCAGCCGTAGGATAATGTAAGTTGTAGTAACACCTATGAATCTCAAAACGGGGAGGGGCGGTCGGGTAGCCTAGTGGTTAAAGCGTGGTGTCCACTTACAGCAGCACCCGTGAAGATCCGGGGTAGAATAGGTCCTCAGCGACCCATGCTTGCTGAAAAAGGTGACCATGTTTGTCGTAAGAGCGGACTAACAGGATCGGGTGGCCAGGCTCCCTGACTTGGTTGATGCATGTCATTGTATCCCAATTGCATGGATCAATGCTCATGTTTAAGCAGTGGGGTGGTGAGATAGCCTAGTGGTTAAGCGTTCGCTCGTCACGCCGAAGACCCAGGTTCGATTCCCGACATGGGTACAATGTGTGAAGCCCATTTCTGGTATACCCCGCCGTGATATCGTTGGAAAACTAAATTCACTCACACAAAACGGGGAGACGTAGACATACACGCAGCAAGATTCATAACTTCTTTTTTTTTCAATGCGCAGAAGTCAGGCGATTCCCGAAACCAGTCCTGACATTCACAGTGGAAGTGACGCATCAACAACCATTCATCCTGAAAGTCCTCCACCACCCTATTCAATCGCTGACCCCAACCAAAGATGCGAACATCCCCAATGTGGAGGTAGTCAAGGACACGAGGTATTTCCTGAATCGATACAGGGCGGGTTTGACGAAACAACGCATAAACAACTGTTAAACAGTGAGGCATTCTCACAAGATGGACGAGTCTCCGAGAAGACAAAGCCACAAACTAGTCAGCCGAATAAAAACAATAATCCCGACTGGCTGCAAGAAAACGAGCCCGTAAATACTGATGGTGGGTCTTCCACGCCCGTATCTGGAGACGAGGAAAGTGGGTTTGCTGACGCCAGAGTTCAGTCTCCAGGCGTCCCAACATCAGATGCAAACCTTCCTTCTGGGGCTCCTGGAGGGAGGAGTGCGGGATGCGGTAATATCACTTTTTTTATCATCAGGTCTCGTGTAGAATACACCAGTTATTACACATCAATTCTAATTAACCTGCGTCAGTAATCAACGCTAGTGTCCATTTGATTTTTTTAAATGTTGTAAATGAAAACGACATATCTTTGATCATTAGAAATCTGTACTAAATGCGGGGGCAAGGGTGGCCCAGTCGTCTAAGGCGCCGCGATTCGCTGTGCAGAGTTGCGTCCCTTGGGCACGCCAGAAACCTTTGATTGTGGGTTCGAATCCCGGTTCGCCTCGATTATGTTTCAAGGTTTGTCAGCACCATACCCGTGCTCGTGGGTTTCACCGAAGTGGTAAACGTCTGAGACCTGCATTACTTCGGGCTTTCCTCCCACATTAAGCTGACACGCCGTGATATAACTGGAATAATGTTAAAAGCTCACTCACTGTACTAAGTGCAGGGTTGTCCAGACCACGTATGATATTAATTAGTAACTATCTCCATTTTCTCACTCGCATGATTTGGGAAGGAGTGTGTGCCGTGGGTAAGTTGTCGTACAACCAGCAAATAAGCAAGCCAGCATGAATACAATGTTTAACATTATTTCTGTGTATGTTAATGCTAATATATTTCAGATTTGAGCGAGATCTCGAGTTTGCTGGTGTCTGAGTTGGGCCCAGGGGATGACCTGCTTCAGATGCTGGACAGAGATGATGAAGAGGACACTGTCAGTGATGCATCTGTAAGGGACACATCTGATACAAAATAGCTATATGTTTTAACAGACATTTAGCTTCATAGTATCATAGCTTCATAGACTCGTGAAGATCAGGGGTGGAATAGGTCTTCAGCAACCCATACCTGTCATACAAGGCGACTATGCTTGTCGTAAGAGGCGACTAACGGGATCGGGTGGTCAGGCTCGCTGACTTGGTTGATGCATGTCATCGTATCCCAATTGCGTGAATCGATGCTCATGATATCAATCACTGGATTGTCTGGTCCAGACTCGATTATTTACAGACCGCTGTCATATAGCTGGAATATTGCTGAGTGCGGCGTTAAACAACAAACAAACAAAATCATTGCTCATAACATCAGTCACTGGACGTTCTGGTCAAAACTTCATTATTTGTTTGTTTTTTAAACGCCACACAGTCATATTCCAGCTGTATGATGGCGAAGGTAATAGAGTCCATACCAGACAATCCAATGATTGGCATTATCATCGATCTACACAATTGGGATACGATGACATGCATCAACCAAGTCAGCAAGCCTGACCACCTGATCCCATTAGTCGCCTCTTACGACAAGAATGCGTTGTTGAATTCTAACCCGGATCTTCACAGGGGTATAGCTGGAATTTTGTTGTGTGTAGTGGGTTTTTGTTACGCAAAAAAAGCAGCTTGCTATATATGGCTACTAACGGGGTTACAGTACTAAATAGTGAACATATATATCTTGCTGCTAATTTTTTGCGTTACAGTGAGTGAGTTGGGTTTAACGCCGCTTTTATCAGTATTCCAGTTATACCGCGGCATGTCAGCTTAATGTGGGAGGAAAGCCCGAAGTGATTCAAGTCTCAGACGTTTACCACTTCGGTGAAACCCACGAGCACAGGTATGGTGCTGACAAACCCGGTACCATAATCAGGGCGAACCGGGATTCGAACCCACAATCATAGGTTTCTGGCGTGCCCAAGGGACGCAACTCTGCACAGCGAATCGCGGCGCCTTAGACGACTGGGCCCCCCGTGCCCCCTTTTGCGTTACAAGCACCTGTGGTTGAGTGTGGTGTCAAACAAGAAACACGCACATACTTGGACTAATCATTCATATAAAAATTCAATAAATTGTACACCGTAAATAGATATGTTATTTTATTCAGGACAAAGGATCAACAAGCACATCCGAAAGGTTAGGAAGGAACAAGTTGCCCAGGAGGAAGAAGAACTTGAGAACAAACCCACTTACGCCCACTGATGATACAATCAACATTCCATCAGACGTGTTTTGTAAGGACTCGAGACGGGCTTTTGTATACACAGAAGCAGGGAAGCAGCTGTTAAAAGATACTTGTATTGGGGCCTCTCCTGATATCCATTTCAGTGCCTCGGACCAGGACTAATAAACCGTCATCTGTAAACGGTTGACTAATACGGGCTTTCCCTAATGTTCCAGAACAGTTGTCTTGCCTTTTCGTGTATTTGTGACGGATGTCACCGTCGGGGCAAATACACTCACCTTTTCGCGAACACTTGGTGCCGACTACTTGGTGGGAATCGTAGAGTGGGCTCTGCTTTTAGCAGAGATTTCTTATGATTGCGGAGGGGCGGTCGGGTAGGCAAGTGGTTAAAGCGTTCGCTCGTCACGCCGAAGACCCGGGTTCGATTCCCGACATGGGTACAGTGTGTGAAGCCCATTTCTGGTGTCCCCCGCCGTGATATTGCTGATGTCACTCACTTTGATTGCGGAAAAGATTTTGTCACTTTTTATTTCATTAATTTGTGATTTGGTAATTTACTTTCTACCAACTGTGCCATATGTAATAAAAAAACAACTTATATATTTTATTTAACGTGGTATTCGTATAGGTAATGGCAAAACACAATTCATGATGGTAAATGCGGCTATAAACAACTGAAACGGAACTACTGTAGGTTGATGAAGCTGGTTGCTAATTATTTTTCAACATCTGTAGTAGGACCCGTGAAGATCCGGGTTAAAATAGGTCTTCAGCAACCCATGCTTGCCGTAAAAGGCGACTTTGCTTGTCATAAGAGGCGACTTACGGGATCGGGTGGTCAGGTTCGCTGAATTGGTTAAAGCATTTCATCGTATCCCAATTGCGTGGATCGATGCTCATGATATCAATCACTGGATTGTCTTGTCCAGACTCGATTATTTACAGACCGCTGGAATATTGCTGAGTGTGGCGTAAAACAACAAACAAACCAACAACAAGCCAACCCACCGGAGTGACGGATTCAACCTGATAGTACAAAAACGAACTCGCAGAAGTGATGTCATCATCATTTGCAAAATGCTTGTCAGACAGTTCTTTCTTCAAGTTTGGGGGGCACGGGTGGCCCAGTCGTCTAAGGCGCCGCGATTTGCTGTGCAGAGTTGCGTCCCTTGGGCACGCCAGAAACCTGTGATTGTGGGTTCGAATCCCGGTTCGCCCCGATTATGTTTCTAGGTTTGTCAGCACCATATCCGTGCTTGTGGGTTTCACCGAAGTGGTAAACGTCTGAGACCTGCTTCACTTCGGGCTTTCCTCCCACATTAAGCCGACACGCCGCGATATAACTGAAATACTGTTAAAAGCGGCGTTAAACCCAACTCACTCACTCACTCTTCAAGTTTGGGGGAGAGGTGGAAATATGACGGTGCCAAATATGGTGAATATAGTGGACGTTCAATGAGTTTTCGGCGACGTTTAGCCTTGATATTCTAGAGCAGTTGCCTGAACAGGTTATAATAATATTGGACATTGATGATCTGACACTAATTGAGTGGCTGCATGTATAGATGTTGGAATTTGACATTTCAGTTGAGATACTTGATACTTAATGGCAACGCGGTTAACAATTGTGCCCATTAGCATCAACAAGGAATACGAAGTCACTTTGATACCTTTAGAAAAATTCGGGCTGATTAGTCTCATGGTTTCAGATGCAGCCTTGGGGGGAAGGGCGGGGGGACAGCTAGCAATGTCATTTTTCTGACAGGCAAATTATTATCCGAAGATCTGAAGCATAATTATTTTGTTCAAAAAGTTATCAGGTACAATATATTTTTTGTATAACACACGATCATAGGTTTCTGTCGTACCTAAGGGAAGCAACTCTGCACGTGAATTAGACGACTGTGCCACCGGTGGCCCCAGATAACTTTAGCTAAGCTTATAGATACAAAACATATACATGTATCTATCTTTTAGAGACTAATTGGCATTTAGGTCATAGTTTACCCTTGAATTGGTTCCTGAAAACCTATGCTGGTCGTTTGAGGCCAGGTAATGGATCGGATCGTCCTCGACGAGATGGTCCAATACTCATAATATCGATCACAGGATCAAAACTCAATTATTCGTGGTTGTTGTTTCGCCGCAATATTCCAGCTGTATGATGGCGGCCTGAAAATAAACTAGATAATCCATTGATTGACATCATGAGCATGGTTGGTTGGTTGGTTGTTTTACGCCGCACTCAGCAATATTCCAGCTATATCACGGCGGTCTGTAAATAACCGAGTCTGGACCAGACAATTCAGTGATTGATATCATGAGCATCGATCCACGTAATGGCCAACATTCCTCAGTTATGCCCCTTTACTACTTCGCCAATAGATGGCGCCAAACGCTACGGTCCTGCGCGTACTTCCGGTATATTACGCGATTCATAGACATTTGCACGACCAACAACTACAACGAAGTATTTACGATGCCTTCGACGTGCTGCTGTGTCCCGGGATGCTGCAATCGAGGTGGTTTGTCGTTTCCGAGAGAACCCATGTTGCTGAAACGATGGTTGATAGCTATTCGGAGGAGCGACGAATCAAACCAAGGCAAGATGTGGAAACCGTCACCTCACAGTGTTGTGTGTCATTCCCACTTCAGACCGTCTGATTTCATTGCTGTAACTAGTTATGGTAAGATATTTGGGTACCTTGTTATGTTTCTATTCGTTGGCAGATTTAATAAACGTGCATGCCAATTATATTTGTTATATTTTCTTGCATTGAAATTACGAAGAGGGTTTTACGTGACTCAGAAATGTGTATCCAGTATGCAGAAATGTGAAGAATGGACGCAGACAAAATAGAATTTGTTCCGTCCCGCGGGACACACTTATTTTCACAGATAGTTTGATTTTGTCATTGAGTTAAATTGAGTAAAGATTCTTAAAACTTCGAAGTGTGTGATTTTTTTCACAATAATTTTAGTTCCCTCCTGTCAGAGTAGGCAAGTAAATTTTAGTATTGGCTAATTCTAATGTAATCATGTTTGTGTGTGTTTGCATGTGAACCTATGAGTATATTTCATTGTTTTTTTAAAACCAAGATAGAAATAATGTGTCATTTAGGCCTTACTATAGTAGCCATTTTTTTGCCAGTCAGTGATCATGGTTATGTTTAGGTTTGACCCTCATATATTTCATGCAAGGGCCTTTGAAATCAATTACTGGGGGTCTAGTGCATACCCAGTTAATTAAGGTAAAACCCTGTTTACCACCATTATATTCCTGTTTATGAAGTTGTTGATGTTTGACCATAACCCTTCTTAGTTTTCTTCTTTAATTTGTTGAATTGATGATTACCAGGAATGTCAACACATATTTGACGTTTTTGCCTTTAATGCGTCATGTTACATTTTCCTGCAGGTGCTTGTTTTCCACAGAGATGAGGCACAGATGATTCAAGAATACAGGTTCATGTTTGTTCACTTTTGATATGTATTTGTCAGAATAGTGTCATGTGTACGTGTTGAACTTATAGACACTTCTCTGTATCAGGCATTAGATGTATGTAATGTTGAGACTATATCTACGAAAATTGTCAGCTAATTTATATCATAATTTTCCTTAATTTAAATGTTTGTTTACTTTTCTAATGTATTGATGTGTATCACTATTATGTTCATAATGTGACAAAACATATCGTGCCCATAGAAATTTTGTATTTCCCTGCAAATTAACTTAAATCTAATCATAAAAAGCTATCTCACAACTGGTAGTAAAAAGATTGCACAATATCTGTTTGGAAAATAATAATCTACTACTGTTTTCCCCAGGGTGTACACCTCTGAGGAAACAGAGAAAACCAGATGCTGTACCATCAATCTTTCCCTGGACTGCATCAGCCAACGCACTTGAGGCCGATGGAGGATTAAGGAAATCCCGCATTGAAAGACGTGAGAGCCAAAAGAGGACATTTAAAGCAATGGATACAGATTGTGATATTGAATGTGATCTCAGTGAGGTAGCTGGGGAGGAAATAATTGACAATGTTGAGTTTGATGACATGAATACCGACTTAAACATTTGTTCTGCAGATAGTGCAGAGGTTGAATATGAAAGTACATCAGCTCAGACAGACAAATTTCCAATGCTTTCATTACAAAGTATTATGTTTAATGCTGCAGCAATTTTGTTTTATACAGGACTGTCAAACTATACAGACTTCACCTTTGTACTTGCAAGTTTGGGTCCTTGTGCATATCACCTAAATTATTTGTACAGCAAAGTTGACAGTATGACTATCAGTGTGGAAAATCAATTGCTTTTAACACTTATGAAACTGCGCCGACATAAGACTAACTTTGAACTTGGTCTTCATTTTGGAATTTCAGAGAAAACTGTATTAAATGTATGGATCACCTGGGTAAATTTTATGTATAGACAGTGGAGTGAGCGAGACTTAGTGCACTATTTTTGTCCTTCTGATTTCAAATCCAAATTTCCATCCACACGAATTATCATTGATGGTACTGAATGCCCTATCCAGAAACCAAAACGCCCCATAGCTCAGCAGTCTACATACTCAACGTATAAAAATCGAAATACTATCAAAATACTTGTTGGATCCACACCAGGTGGTCTTGTGTCATACGTGTCTCCTGCGTATGGTGGCTCCACAAGTGATCGTCAAATAGTAGAGCGTAGTGGTTTGACAGTGATGTGTGACCCAGGAGATAGTATTATGGCCGATAAAGGTTTCAACGTACAAGATATTTTTGCACCAAAAGATGTTACCATTAATATGCCAACATTCTTCTCAAAGAAAAACCGTATGTCTGGCAAGACTGTTATGCGTGATAGGAAAATATCAAGCAAAAGAGTTCACATTGAACGTATTATTGGTCTGGCAAAAACATTCAAAATACTCACTGAACCTCTTAACAGTTCAGAAACCAAATTAGCCACAGAAATAACCACGGTTTGCTTCATGCTTTGTTCTTTCAAAAAGTGCATTGTTCCCACTACTTGCTAATCATTAAAAATATCTTTGATTCCAGGCGGACGTTAGTCAGACGTAGAGTATGGAGATTTGTTTCTAATTTCTTTCAAAAAGGCCTGTTATTTGCGTTTGCTACATGATTAAAGATAATTGTTGCTAAATATTCATGAGGATAAAGTTGAATGTAACATGTTATCGATTATGTATCATGTTGAGACTAGAATGGGAATCTGTGGTCAAAAAGCAAGTTTGAAGCAAATTTACCATTTGTGCAGCCACAATCTATCATACTCTTTTGTCAAGGTACAAACATAAATGTGTAAGTATCAGAGATTATGATAATGTAATGCTAAACGTCCTGTTCAATGTGGTGTTAAACCCATCTCACTCACTGAATTTGTTTTACATTTATGACATCAGTGACATGAATTTAAGAATGTTGACATTGTTTGGTGCGTACTGTTACATTATCCCCTGCCACAAAGTGGGAGAGACACATTTCTTGTCCGAGCATAATTCGGAAACTGTTTCATATGTCATTATGAAACTTTGCACATGTATCAAACACAAGTTGAACTGGTGCCCTTTCCTGTTTTCCATGGCAGC